GAGAGTTTATGTAAACATAAGTGGCCAAACAAATATGAACAAACTATACTTTATTATAAAGTAACTCAGTTATGAACTAACTGAATTACATAATAAAACACTCAATTGCTTGCTTGCTTACTTGTTGTACCCCACTAGGACATCACACAAGCGATAGATACCCGCTGACACAAAGTGCCACCATGCGGATAAGGATCACCCGTGGCGAGGTCTCAGAAACCCCCTTTCAGCCGTTTTTTCCACAATTGTGGCCTAGCTATATTCGGGTCCAGCAAAGCCAGGATGGGGCTTCAAGTAACGAGAAATCGCATCCCACAAGGGGATGACTGAAAGTGAACACCCAATTAAACCCAGAAAATATACCATTTTCAAGCAATTTAACTGAAACACACTCACAAAAACTAGACACTATAAAATATCATTGATTCAATGTCTTTATGACATTATTACCCTCACACTCTCAAAATATGACAGTAGTTAAGGTTGACACACCTGTTTACATTCTGTTTCTGAAGATGTTCATTTAGATGTTCTGTTACCTTGACAGCCTTAGAAGCCGGCTATACTCAAGCGCCACCCAACATGCAAGGCCTTCTGACTGGTTTGTTCTACGCGGCTTCTGGTATAGGAAACTTCCTGTCTCTGGGCATCATGCGGGCTGTTGAAAAACTGACAGAGGACGGTAAGACAATCTGGCGAGAACTTAAGTGTCTGCAGTAGATTAGGGTCGACGTGAGGTTGACATCCTCTGCCATCCATTGCCGACTACAATGATATGCTTTGTGCATCTGTAGAGTGATAAAGGTTCTTTAAAAAAAAAAAAAAAAACACACACACACACAGTCCATTGGGTTCATAGACAGTATAGTTTCTCAGTAACTGAAATACATCAGTCATAATAAACATCCTAATTATGTGTAATTATGTGGGTAACGAGCATGGTGACAGACTGGCCGGTTTTGAACCACTTGATCCCCCGTGTGGGTTCCGGGGCCCCATTGTGGGAAAAACAAGAATAGACCCACTGCCTCCCCAAACGCATGTCGTAAGAGTCGACTAATTGGAGAGCTTCCTTTGAAGTCGGAGTGCATCTGCCGGAGAGGCAAGGAACCAACAGTCTGTGTTCAAGAGAATGAGATCTGTGAAACTGATGCACACGCAACACTCAGGTTCTGGAGCAGGACTTCAGTAGTAGACGAACCAGAACTTTCCGCCAGAGTGTACAGCTGGTGAACGCGAAGAAGCGAAGAAGAAGAACCACTTGATGGAGAACTGACGCATGCAAGCTTGATATTGTGAGGGCCTTTTGGATAGGGAAAGGGGGTAGAAGGAGTCAATAGTGTGAATGAACATACAGATTATCATGGTCTAGGCAGAATGTTACTGAGAGGTGTCGCCATGGAATCTGGCGGACGCTCAACACTGAAGGGAAAGACGAGGTGGAGATACAAATCAGACTGTTACTGGTTCCATCAGAATTGAAACTGTGCGCCTGCTGCTGAAGATGGAGACGGAGATACCTGGAAAAAGGCATTCGTGGCTTAGGGGTTATAAACACAATTTCTTAATTTCGAGACACCAGATTTCCCAAGTTCAGTGCCGGATTTGGGAGCACACAGCTTTGACAGAATCTTTCAGAAAGTAATGACGAAAGTGAAATTGCAAAATGAAACACAAACGGACAACAACCATTTAAAGGGTAAGCAACTAAATGTGCTTTAATGGTTTGCAAACAGTAATCTCCGGTCAATATTGTGGAAAGGCTGGCTTACTATCTTCGGTCTTGCCGGTTTTTCTCCCTTCTGACAATAGTTAGCCAGCGTATTTTAATCTATATCTAGACTGACATGACACACTTCATTCGTTTAGCTATTGAAGTGAATGCACGACGCAACAATGTGAGATGCGGGTTGCATTTGGAATCTGTGCACAACGTGGTTTATGTTTCTAACTGCGGATTCAGAAAATATTGAGTAACCTTTACTAGAGAGCTAGGCACAGTAGGAAAAAAAAAAAAACACGTTCACACACACACGCACACACTCGGTTATCTTTTATGGTAGTTACAAACGCATACACGTCCACGCACACACACGCCACGCCCACAGTTAGAGAAAGAAACAGAGAAAGAAAGAGACACGAGTGTGTGTGTGTGTGTGTGTGTGTGTGAGAGATAAGGGGACTGTCATCATCCTAAAGTAGTGACAAGCACACAAAGACACTCACAGATACTTTAAATCACTTTAGAATATATTAGGAATTTTTCCTCTTTCCTCTAAAACCCCAGTTGATGTTTTTGATATCCTGTTCATCTTCTGCAGATCCCTGGTGGGGTAACGAGATCAACGACACGAAGATGGAGAATCTGATGTTTCTACTATCCGGCATGATGGCTCTGGATTTCATAATCTTTTGTATCATAGCATTTCAAAAGTCATATCAAAATATGGGGACGTTGGGTTCTGAAACCACACAAATATCTAAAAGAGAGGAAAGTTAATGAGAAAGATAGACTATTCATCTTTTTTATTTGTTATGATTTTCTGGGTGGCTACAATTGTGGGAACACATTGCTAATGGACTGTAGGGATAGGAAGGTAGGAGGGTTACGTTTCCCTAAAGGATTGCTGCCCGGCAGACTAATACCTTCAGGACGAGGGACAGGAACTGTTTATACTTCTTCACCTTCACTGGCTATTAACTCCAGCTCAAAGTTCTGGTTGTTTGTCCACTTCTGGATTGTGGTCCTTTTTCAAAACTTGAGTTTTGCGCGAACATCCGTTTCACAGACCTAGCTTTTTAAAAAAAGTGCAAACTTTTGGTTCCTTGCCTCGCAGCAGATGCGAGCTGGCATTGAAGGAAGCCATCCATTAAATGTATGGCCTTGTAAGACAAGCATGCTGGGAGCAGATGTGTGTGTGTGGGGGGGGGGGGGAGGGGTCTGGTCCCCCCTCCCACAATGGGGCGACGGAACCCACACAGGGAAATCAGGATCAAATCCCGAAAATGCCGTCCAACCTTGCACACAATAACATTAGGACAGCCCTTGGATGACGAAGTATCCTGTAGTCCAATTTAGGGATGGGGTATGGGGAATTTCCAACTAAGGCCCAAATGTGTTGCCAGAACTGTGCTGAGATTGTGATTGTCATGTGATAGAATAAGTTATTGTGATTGTCATGTGATAAAATAAGTTATTGTGATTGTCATGTGATAAAATAAGTTACTTACTGGGTTATTTAACTGACTGTCTTCACTGAACATATATTCATTCAGTCTATGAGAGCTCTGACTTGACCTCAGTATGTCTCGGTTGACCACATAAACTAAATGTTCGTGCAATGTATGCTTGCGATTGTCATTATATGAAAAAATCATTCAGTTCCTTGGCTCTAGATGATACAATGATTCCAATGTATTGTCGTTATGTTAGGTAATGGGTTCTTTTCCTTTTTTTAAAACTCCATCTCAGGGACTCAGATATTACAGGGGAAGTTCTCGGGAAAGTCCAGTAATATAGGTGCAACTAACATTAACCATAACACTCTCCACTCCCATGATATTAAACTTCCGTTAGAACTCCCCACGAAATCCCGGAGTCCCCAAGAGGAGGGGAAAAACAAAACAAAAAACACAGGTAATATAAACATGTGATTGCCATTCTATGAGAGAATGTATCAATGTAATTCTCATTGTGTCAGTGTGCGTATCCATATCTATGTCATTACACATTCAGATGAGTCCTTATCTGATCGTCTTATTTTATTTCCAACTTTAGAACCATAACTTCCTTAGTTAAAGGTGTCCACGCTGCTTGATTTGTTAACTCTCAGTTAGTTCAGTGCGTGGATTAGACTCTAAGATATCATCATTTATAACTATTTTTGTTTTTAATGCAATGTCTATATCATTCTACCAAAGAAAGGAAATCTGAAACTATGCTCCAACTACCGTACCGTCACATTAACAAGTCTAAACCCTCTTACGAATTTGCATGAAGAGGATTAAAAGGAAATTACAATATGAGCTAGAAGAAGCACAAGCGGGTTTCAGACAGGGTAGAGGAACTAAGGATCAAATTTTTGTTATAAGAATAATTTTTTGAAAAAATGCAGAGAATACAATGTAGATCTTCATGCTTGTTTCATTGATTATAGCAAGGCATTTGTTTGTGTCCAACATCAGAAACTGTGGACTAATATGAGAAGTATAGGGTTTCCAGCGCATTTGCTGCATTTAATTGAAAATCTATATCATTAACAACGAGCAACCATTAGAGCAGCTGGTGAAACATCGGATTGATTCGAGGTGCAAAAGGGAGTGAGACAGGGGTGCATTCTCTCACCACACCTATTCAATATATACGCAGAAAATACAAAGAAATATCAAAAATGACCAGACTTGTGACAGTTATGATCCGCTCAAAATTAGTGGCAACCCTATTCCGAAACTCCACTACGCAGATGACACAGTCCTCCTTTCGAACAGCGTAAAGGGAATAGAAAATTTAATATTGTCTGTCCAAAAGCACAGTGTAGATCAAAATCTGTCCTTGAATTTAAAGAAAACGAAAATAATGTCCACAGATAAAACTGGCTGTCACCCGGAAATAACAATAAATGGTGAAGAAATTTAAAATGTCTCGAACTTTGAATATCTAGGCTCTATAATAAACAACAATGGAGACAGTTCGACACAAATTAAAAGGAGGATGGCCATAACATTTCAAAGATTAGGCAGCCTAAAAAGTCTATGGTTCAGCACCAGCACAAAGGTCAAAATTAGAATTTTGAGAGCATGCATCTTCCCTGTAGCAACAAATGCTTGTGAGTCGTGGACTTTCTCTCAGTCCTTAAGAAAGAGAATAGGAGCTTTTGGGCTGAAATGCTATTAAAAGGATCTTGGACAAAAAAAGGAATATTGGCTAATAAACAGCATCCTGTCTCGAAAGCTGAAATATTTTGGTCATATCAAGCGCCACGATGGATTGGAAAAAATTA